GCGGCGGTGAGGCGGTGTAGCAGGGTGTACCTGGAGGCCTACACGTCCCTCCTCACGGTGGGCAAGGAAGCGCTGGTAGGTCTAGGCTGCACGGAGCCCAGCCTCTGCTGTGAGGGGCTGCTGGGTCAGCAGGAGGGGCCTGGACTTGGTGGTACACGACCCTCATGGATCCTGGTTTATGGGAGAAATCGCTCTGCTGCCTTGTGAGAAGATTGGAATGAAAATAAATTTTCCTTGCTAGGAGTAATGTTAGTATTTTGACACTAGTTTTCATCCCATCATCCCAAGTTCTAACACAGCAATCATGAAACGTTGGAGAACTTAGAAAAAACATCTGATCTGAGTTAAAAAAAAAAAAAAAGACATACCAGAAAAATACATGTTTTGGAGCCTTGAACCTCTGAGGTGTTATGCTGTGTGGAGTGTCTCAGGTGTCCCCATTTCCTTGTGGGCCAGGCTGTCTCCCCACATTGGGACTTCCAGAATACACAGCTCAGTCAGGATGCAGGGCTGTTGAACATGGAGACAAGCTTTTTGTTAACAGACACTCCTTACAGAAGAAAACAGTAAAAATGTACAGATTATAACGCTGGTGGGTTCACTGGTCATAGAAACGCAGAGTTTGATCTTGAGTTAATACCCAAAAAAGGGCTTACCCACCCAAAGAACAAGGGATCTCACCCCCAGATAAGCTGTGTAGTACCATTCAGAGATGCTGTCTGGGTCCTGGCTGCCGTACGGCCCTGCTGTACTCGCATGTGTATCTGCAGAGACATACAGCACGTGAGGCTTTTAGCCTGTAGTCAGCATTGGGTGGTGTCCAGACACCAGCTAGGCTAGAATACTTGGGGCCCTCTCTGGAATATCTGCTGTATTTCGAAATGAAGATACACTTTGTCTTTTTCTGGGGTTTTTCCCGATACACTGAAGCAATCTGAGTTGAAGTGAATCCATTCAAAACAAAATGTTACCTTTTTGTTGTTGGGCAGCTGGAAAATTGCAAATCAGAAGTTACATTTTTACTTTGCAAATATTGCATTTGCTATAACAAAAAAGATGGATTCCTAGCCAGCTGAAAATAAACACTGAATAGTAGAAAAAATGCTGAATTTTTTTTTGTTATTTTTAGGGGTTTATTTGTTTTCTATTATTTTAAGGCTTTTGGTAACCTTGAAGTCCCAAAGATGAGTTAATTGGGAAAAAATGATCAGTAAAAGATACTGTCTTACCTGAAACTGCCTAGGAGGGAGTATAGGAATTAATCACCAAGTGTTGGCCATACAGCCCAGTTCACGAACAAGTGACAATGCCAACTGGTGTGCTTAGTAATGTGAAGGCCAGTCTTTCCTAAGCAACATGCAAGGTTACGAGAAAGCTCTCAAGACACAAAGAACAGATTCTTTCCTGCAGGGATTTTCTAGAAATCCTCCTGTGCTGATGCTTTTAAAATCAGATCTCAAACTTCAAATGACATGACTTGGTTCGTTCATGTTGTTGACCTAAACCATATAATAATGGCTATTTGATGCTGAGTGTCTAAATCAGCCCTCAGTCTGGGCAGAGAGCTGCACCCCATGACCACCCAGTGAGTCTACATTTAATTCTCGTCAGGAGGGTGCTTTCCATGCATTCTCTAATCAATGTGCTTTGATTCACGTTGTGGGGCAGCCGCCAAGCACACAGGCAGGTCACATAGATGAACACCACCTGAAGGGTGTGCCCCTGGGAATGCACGCTCTATAGGGTGCGTTCCCTATACATTGCTGGACTGATGTTAGTCTGGCCAAGTGCTAAGCCCGCCAGAGCGTACGCAGCTTTGTCACTGAGTTCTCAGCCCCAAGTGCTTTGCGTTATAGATCAGCCCCCACTTGTGTTCATAACTGACTTCATAGTTGGATCAATCTGTTAAAATTGTAATACCACCCACATTTTCTGAATACTGCTTAGAGCAAAAATGCCTTTTTTGGGTCTATGCCCAGGGAGAAAACCTTTATCTAATCATGTAAAGAGCACGTGAAATGTATGGTGAAACATGACCTACGGACACAGGTATGTGCAGGATGGTCAGATAACGTTTCTAGAACTGCTGAAGTTTGTTGCACTTGTGAGGTTGATTCTGGAAATAAAGGCATTTAAACATACAGACACAGTGATTACTGAGCTGCTGGAGAAGAGCAAAGGACACGATCAGAGGCACGTTGACCTGTAAGCATGGTAGAGTATGTCTTACAGAGAACTGAAGATGAGGGATTAACTCATTCCTTAGATGTGGTCAGTTGTAACGTGCTAAGGAAAAATCCAGAAAACGAGGTTGTGGTATAGCAAGCGTGGCATCTGTGCCTGGTCTGATGTCCGTTTACTAACTAACCTGAGCAGTTCAGCTCCTTACCGCAGGAGGACCGGTTACACTGACTGCCCTAGAGCCCCCCAGAGACTGTCAGCATGCTGGCTCAGCTACTTTGGAGCAGCTCCCCACCTGCCACAGAAGGCACAAAAAGCCAAGCCAGTATTGGGATAATGGGCTTGACTGGTTTTTGTCTGCTCGGGAGTTGCTTTACGGGAAGCTCAGTGTTCTTGCAAGGGGAGGTGGGATCTCTGTCTTATCCGGTGTTTCTCATTAATTTCAATTTCTAGGAAGAGTTTTATGGGAAAGAATTGATTTTGGCTGACCGAGAAATGGTGGAACAAGAAGTGGATAGCATTTTGAAAGAAGCTGATATTTGCGATGTCGCATTCCTTGTAGTTGGTGACCCCTTTGGGTAAGACAAAGCAACATTTTAATTACTGCTGTGGCTTGATCACTCTTTCAGTAGGAAGGAGCCATTCTCCATAACTGTAATTCTTTTGATTTCCAGACCAGAAGCATTTTTTACGTCTTTGTATGGTTTTTGTTGCATTAGAGGTTTTTGTTGCCTTGCTTTGGGGTTTCCTTGTCCAGATACCCCTCACAGATAGGAGTGGGGCCCTCCAGGATGTATAACTCTTTCCTGCAGCAGTCCATTCTCCCGCCAGCTTTTATAGGGAATATTTTGTCCCAGGTTTTCTCTGTTAGCAGAGTAAATTCTAGGATGTCATATAATTAAGGACTGTGCTGTGCTTTGGGAGAGTATTCCTGTAGTTGCTCTTTGTACGCTGGCAGCTTTTACGCTCTGTCGTTTCAGAACGAATGCTGATTGTTGGTTGTACAGTGCTGCTGCTTTGATACACGCTAGTTTTTAAGATCACTTAGGTCATTATAAGTGTCTTCGCATTTTGGTTAAGTCTTTTGTTTCCACTTTTTATTCCTGCTATGAAGTACTGTCTTCTTCTATCACCAGAAGGATCTTCTTCTGTCTTGCCAGTCAGGCCTCACCAATCTGTGATGTCAAGCCACACAGAAGAGCTTTTGGTCTCCAGTTGGCGATTCAAGATTTACACCACAGTGTTAAGGGGCACAAGAAAAATCAAATTACTGAGCACCCTATTTGTGAATGAAAAAATAGAGTTTATGGAAAAGAGAAGCAGTGTGCATATCTGTCAAAACCGGATAATTTATGTAAATACAGATTGAAGGGAATTGGCAAGAGAATATTACATTAAACTAGTACTTAAGGGTAGATGATGCTGTATGATGGAAATATTAATTATACTTGCAATGCATGTTAACATTAAAATTAGGATTAGCGTGTAGAGCCAATTACCTGTACCCTTGTGCTGTGATCCAATGACTGATACAAGTACATAGGATAAAAACCCCAAAACAACGTACATGTATGGAAATATAATTGCTACTTGTGAGCAGTACCTTGGGCTGCCTCAGTTATCATTTGTTTCAGTGTCAAAATACTTCAGTTCCGATTAACATACTACGTCATTGTAGAAAACTACCATTCTGTTGAACAAGTTGCTTCTCTCTAAGTGTTTATGCTCTTAGCTCTTAATCTCACAGCTAGAACTCCTCCAGTGCCCTAAGGAGGACTGTACCCTAAGGAGAACTGCTCCTGTGCAGAGCCCTAAGGATGTAGGGGTTCATGAGCTTACTGGGGAAGAGCACTGAATGCTTCTGCCCTAAGAGAAGCCACGCAGGAGGGCAGAAGCCATCTGCCTGTTATGGTAGAGTTTCAAGTGTATTGCAGGCAAGGAGAGTACTTGGCAGCCTTAGAAATCTCAGGTGTGTTGGTTCACGGCTAAAGGGATAAAACAAGCTGCACCCATGTTTTTCTCACTGTTGTTCCCTGCAAGTGTAGCTGCGTATGTGGTCACACCCATGGACGTGCTAGCAGGAGCCCCACGGTTTCAGTAGCGTACTGGAAGGCCCACCTTTGTGTAGCTGGGTGCTAACATGCACATGATCGCTACCTATAAAACGTAAAACCTGTATCGGTGGCAGAAAACACTAGTGCGGCTCTGGGCGCAGAGGGCTGACCCCGTGAAGCCTTTGCTGGCATTGGCAGAGTGCTCGGGAGGGCACTTCTGCTTTTGGCTACTGTCGTTACGGGCAGATCTGCTGGGAGAAGGTACTGGCTGGAGTGAATTTCAGTGAATGGACCAGCTGACCCTGGTCAGTATTAGCGTAGCCACAGAATCCTGCAGTGCTCCCTGTCCTGTGTACGAGGGGAGTAATACGAGGCTGTGAAGCTGATCCCCTCTCAGAGCAGGTGTTCTTAACTCACCTTTGCTTATAGGAGTTAGAAGCATAGTTCTTGTGCTAACCAAAAGTGTTGTTTTAGATCCCTTTACTGCGTTCTCCTAGGCCCAGGAGCCTGTTTGTACCAGGTCTCTGATTTCCCAAGTTCAACTTCCTCTGTTTTTTTCTTCCGGAGAAACTGATTTCTTTTTCCAGTGGTTGGTCCTTAATGGCCTTGCCAGCTGGGCCACCTTTGTGTGCAGCCTGCTCTGCTGATCCGTGCTGCTCAGAATGCCGTGTCAAAACTGCCAGACTGAAAACCCGGGGAATTCAGTTAGGGTGACCGCACCAGGCCAGGGTGAAGGCAGTCTTCCCCTTTATTACTGCAATTGGCCTATGCTATTTCTTTCTTTGCTTCCTTCCTGGGAACAGCCACGCAAAACGGTGTGGTACGGAATGAGGTGGCTAAGGCCATTGTTCAGGTTGGATAAACTCAGGCGAGGTGCATTTTCACATGGAAGGTGCAGTGCCTAGCATGTATGTGAGCACACCCCAGGCAAGATACGTGTGTAAATTGTTGCTGGAGCTATATATGCTTACCACCTTAGAAGGACTCAAATTCCAGTTGTGTCAGCTACAAGCCCAGTAATGCTGGCACCAGTCACAGCAAGGTGCTTGCTGGGCTTTAGACCCGGAGCCAAATTTGGCTCACTTCTAAGCTTAACTGGAATTGTCTTAATATTTCAGAATAAACTTGATCACTCAAACTGTGGCATTGCTGATTTGAGTAGTTTGGCTTCAGTGTTATAGAAGTTGGTTTAGTCTTGGGATGTTTTAGTACTGCATGCAGATTAGCGCCGTCTGTTTGAAGTTCTGATGTGCCTGATGCTTTCCTAGCACGCACCGGCGCAGCTGGGAGATGCCTGGCTGTGCAGCAAGTAAGGAAATACTGGAATTTCGTTGAAGTCCGTGCCAAATAGACCTGACCTTTACAGTTCAACAGATGTCCAACAGATACCTGCAGAAGAGAAAGGATAACTGGAACTTTCCCTTTCAAGCAGTTGCCAAAGCTGCTTTAAAAAATAACAGTTGTGTTGGTGTTACAGTTTTAATGATGCTAGAAAGCTGCAACGAACCAGAACATACTGCGGTTGCCTGTGTTCTCAGGGAAGATGACATACAGAAGCCTTATTGGAGTTTTTACTTTCTCGTAACAATTAGTCAAGTTATTGTTGCCCTTTTGGCACTTCTGCATCACCCTTGTTGTGAAGGGTTTCATCGTGCTTCCAAAACGAACCATAATTCTAGTACACTTGGTCACTTTATCCCTTCGTCCTTTAATTCTGTTCTCTCTTTAACACAGAGCCACGACACACAGCGATTTGGTGTTGCGTGCAGTAAAGCTGGGGATTCCGTACAAGGTCATCCATAACGCTTCGATAATGAATGCAGTGGGCTGCTGTGGTTTACAGGTAACGCTTTTGTATACGTGGTATTCCACAACTGCTCCAAGTAGAACTGGTGAGGAGTTCTGCTCCCGCAGCAGCGCGTGTTGCAATCTGAAGCTTGAAGATCTGTAGCAACCGTGCACTTGTGTCGTTAGAATTTGTTAACACTTCCTTTTCAGCATGCCCCCTTCAGTGAAAGTCCCTTTCGATGAGCACAGTAAAAATGCACAACGCTTCTGTTCTCTGCTCTCCAACTTCTCTCTGCCCCAGGAGACTGATGTTTGAGTTACATTACACATCAAGCTTTGCTCATGTTGGCTTCCTTCTACTGCTGATGGTCACCTGATAAATTTAGTCTTAAATTAGGTTATCATCCTGTCGGTAAATACGCTGGGCTCATCATAAAAGGAATACATGCACAAGCCTGTCTACGTGCTCAACTCGGACCATAAGTAATTCCAACATCCTGTGCATGACGCGTTCTTTCTCTCTGAGCTTGACCTGCCTTCACTTTCTGCCCATCTGCTGAGAGGAGGGATTTGCCTAGCCAAGGACAAAGCACAAAAGCTTCTTGCATGGCTAAAGTAGAAAATGTCTGGTGTCCCCGAAGAAAGCATTTCACAACTTCCTTTTACACTAGTATAGGTCCATTCACTTTTCCTGCATATGTCAGCATGCGCATCACAACTAATCACATCGAGATTAGTTGAGGCTTCCCCCTCTTGTTTTCATTCATTGCTTTAGCACAGAACCTGCTCTCTCAGGGTTCGGAATGCTTCCCTGCATATGGGAGCCCCTAAGCCAGGCTTCCACTTTACCAGAACCAAAAGCAAGCATAGGAATGGAGGTGTACAGAGGAGTAGAGGGTTTGAACAGTAAGTTATCACCAAGGGAGGAAGCATTCTTTCCTAGCATAATGTAGTGCCCTTTCTTACGTTTCAGCAAACAGCTGACACCATCAAGTTCACACTGACAAACTCCACCAGCCTCATTTTGATGCTGCTCAGCAGCAGAAAGTCTGTTGTGATAACTGCGTGGGTATTGTCTCTGGTGCTGTCATGTCCACATGGTTTAGAAGTGCAAGAGCCCTGCCTGATCCTGCCATCCAGCAACACGGCACCGACACCTCTTCCAAGACCCATGGGATTCACGTTCCTCACAGTTCTTCCTGTGAGCACTTTCTCAGCGATACCTGCCTGGTGCTGTGACACTGGGGCAGAATTATCTTTTAGGAAGCAAACAGGCCCTTTGGTGCCCAGAATCTACAGGCAGAGCAGGCAGGTGGCAGCTGTCGCATGACTGCAGTTACTGGGGCGGGTGACACGAGGGCTGAGGCTGGGGCTCACCCTTTCCCCTTCGGGATTCACGTGGTGCGAAGTTTGCTTCTGCTGCCAGGCTGTTGACAAGCAGCTTCTACTACCCGCCTCCTTCTTACTGTTCTGTTACGGTCACTAGGAAGGAAGGGCCAAGGCTCCTGTTCCCAAAGAGAACAGGTGACTGTGTTTTCCGAAAATCTGCTTCCCCCACACTCAGCTAGGCACGGGGAGGAGGGGTACAGAGCCTCTAGCCTAGCTGAAAAAATGATATCGCAAACAATCCGTATGGGTTTCCACGTCTGCACAGTTCTGGAGGTCAGTTTACCATTTCCTTACCCCATGCTGGAGGAACAGCCCATGCAGGAAACGTGGCATTATTCACTCTGGCATTAGTCCCCTTTTCCATCCTGGCCTGGGAGGGGCTGCCTTTGCACAAGTCAACATTCCTGTTGTTGCACAAAGCATTTTAGGAAATAGTGATCCTGTTGTATTACCAGGCAGCCTATAACCAGCTCTGTGCTTCACTCTCGTCACTCCCTCCAGGCACAAACGGCGGGCGAGGGGTCTCTTGCACACAGCAGCCTGTGATTTCATTACAGCGGGGATGGAAGTTTGTAATTTCTTTTACTGCCATCAATTCAGTTTGGGAGTTACTGTGTTTCAAATTGCAAAGTTGCTGTCAAGTGCAGCAGGGATTCCTCTTTTGCTTCACCACAAAAAAGGCTTGGCTTTTTTTCTTGTTTTAATCTGATTGTGATACAAAACCTCTTTCTTTCTTACTAGAGAAAAACAGGAAACACCTTTATACACTGTTCTGAAAGCCGCGTGCGTAGTGCGTAACTGCTGATTAGGCCCTCGGCAGCATGCAGCTACAGCCCTCTGCTCACAGAAGAACATCTCCTGTCACCAGAGCAGTGTTCCCATGCAGCCAGCATCGTTCTGGCAGCTGCACAGCTTTCCTGTGGAGCAGTGAGTTACTGGAGTCCTGGAGCACTAGTGATGGCCTGTCACCTGCAGTTCAGATGCACCTTTCTGCCCAAGAGCAGAGGGCGAATATCTGTGTTCCAGTACTTGTGCTTTTCCTGCTGCCTTGCCCATTTAACAGAATCAGTGCAGCAGCCTCAAGGGCTGCAGGGGGGGAAGTTGTATTTGTGCAAAGAACAGGGATGAGTCTTAGTTTGGAAAACTAAACTTTTTGGAGTTGGGAAGCTCTGATGGATTGATACAATAATTTACAGCTCCTGGGAGCAGAGGACGGCATAACCTAGCGAAGTGCTCCTCTGACCAGGCATACGGCTCCATGACTTGCTGTGGCTCCCTCACTTACACTGGCCTTGCCGTGCTTCACTGTGGCAGTTCTTGTTTTTCAAGGCTGAAGAACACCTTTTCTCTCAAAACCAAATGAATACATCCAGGAGGGAGAAGCCGTGAGAAGGGCCTGTGTGTGGGTGCCTCTTAGCTGGTTCTCTGCTGGTTCAGCTCTTGTCTGGGGTCTGACATGTAGGTATGGCCACTCCGACTCCTGTTGACCAAGTCGTGCGGTTTGGTAGCTATGCACCCTGCCAGGGAAGCCGGGGAGAGGGAACAGAATCCCCAGGGGAAGGCTGAAATTCTCAGAGAGCACATGTGGCAGGGGGCTTCCCGCAGCAGCAGCTGTGCTGCAGCTCCACGGCTTTGGAAAGCTCAGTGTTTCAGGTAGATGGCCTACCTCTGTTCTACCCCTGTTCATCTGCCCCGGAGCAAGGCGTGCCTGGGCTCTACCACCTAGGATTCAGCACTGCATGCAGAGAATATAAGGAGAGCCCAGCTGTGCTGGTTTTAGCCCTAGAATAAGGAGGCAGAAAACTCGGAATCACTAATTCACACCTTTCTCCTCCCTCCCTCATCTGCATGCCATCTGGGTATGTTGGGGAAGGTCACTGGCCAGAGCGGTGCTCTCAGGACAGACTTCTCTGCCCCGGGTCTGGTAACATGCGTTTGAGGTAGCAGCGTGGATGGCCAAACACGTGAGGAAGACTGCATCACACCTGTGATGCGTGTGAAGGAACGAGGCAGCCTGAAATGGCTTGAGAGAGTAGCATTGCTGTAGAAAAGTATGGAGAGCTGAAGGGCAGAGCTGGAGGTGAGTCGTGGGACACGACAGAGATGGCGGAAATAAGCCACTCATTTCCAGGGGAGCGGTGTTGCTCGTTCTGAAAGAATTGACTTCATATTTTGGTAGGGCAGCTAGGAAAAAAACACGTCACGGCGAAGGCCTGCCTCTCTTTCGAGACATACCCGCTTTCCACCTGAGTAGCTTCAGAACAAACATCTGGTTGTCCCTGTGTTTCTTTCAGTGGCTCATCTCAGTGTGGGGCGTTCGTGCTCCCGTTAACTCTCATCAGACAATCACAGTTATAACACAGTTCTGCCTTTTGGCTGCCAGCTGATTGTGGAAATCCACAAGCAGTGCCAGTTCTGAGTCTTTGCTGAACAGGTGAGGCCACTCACAGAGTCAGGTAGAAAAACAGATGTAAGGGAGCTTAAGGAGGCATTACACTGTGCATAGTCAAACAGAGAGCCTGTAGTAGCTACAGGAGCGGAACCACTGAGCTCCACCCTCTCTCTCTGCTCCCCAGTCTTCAAAAATACCCTTTGTTCTACTAGGAGGGGCTCTACACCAAATGGTTTTTATTCACTGACAGTTAAACCAAGCTGTTCTCCATCACTGGCTGGTTTTCTCACTTACTACCAGCTTCTGAGCCTTTTAGGAGTTAGCATGTGTTTCTGAAACCGATTCAAGGTTAAATCAGTGCTGGTCACACTACTTCATTACTCACCGTGGCTGTTCAGCTTAGTGCTGTTCGACACCAGCAAACATGACACAAAAACAAGTCATCAAGTAGATGTTTTGTCCATCTTTGTTTCAGACAATAGCCCAAGTGACCAGGGTGGGACGGATTCCGGATTTCCGATGTCACTGGGAAGGGTCTTAGGAGGTTATTAAAGATAAGGTGACGTTACCTGGGAGTGAAAATCCTCCCCTATTCAGGTTTGCTTGGAGATCTGAGCCTTGATAGCCAAATTTTGCTCTGCTTGCAGAGTGGGTGCTTCCTAAGTGCTGATACAAGAGGCAACCAGGAGAAAATGTGCTCTTGCCTTCAGCTGCTGTTATGTGATGGGGCTCAGCTGCCTCCTGAGCCTGGCAGTCGTGGGGAGTGGGCCTCCCCCAGCCCAGCAGCCTGTTCCTCACAGCTCCTTTTTCTTTGGCATGTTCTAAGGGGACTGAGGTTTTTGCGACAGCTGAGCCAGTCTGTGGGCCTGCAGGCCAGAAACAGTCACAGTGAGTGCTGAAGGCACCTGATGTCACAAGGCTCTCCTGAGGCATTCCCAGCTGCTGACAGCCAGTGGTAGGGAATAAGGTCGGGTGAGGGGCTAGAGCTAGGCTTGTGGTTGGTTCATATGACCAATTATAAGCAAAAATGATGCCTGGCTGATTCTTGCTGCCTTTTGTTGATGATTGTCCTCCTGCCTAAGCTGTTCTCTGGCAATAATATGTGATACAAGGAACAGCAGGAGCCCTTTGATCTGGGTTATGGGGTCTGGAGCGTTGTTAACGGAGGATAAGGGGAAAAATCTGACTTGTTAGGCTCCTTTGAGGATGAACATTGCATAGCATCACATCAGAACTCTTATGACAAGGATGCTCAAAACATGTCTTTGCTGTTCCGTGTATGTTCACTGGTGTTTATCAGGAAGTGACCTGGGATAATGCAAGGTGCTCAGTGTCTCAGTTCCACCGAGGAATAGCTGTAGGAGAAAAGCCCCTTGTGCCCATCAGTAGGATGGGACAGGCTGTGCAGAACCTTCACGAGCAAACACACCTGTCCTGTGCAAACTGCAGCATAACTGGTGACCATTGCAACGCGGAGCAGCTGAGGAGAGCGTCAGCACCGCGGGGTCACAGGCACCGCAGGGGTGTGTGGGCATCAGTCCGACAGTCTCCTTCTTACCTGCCTGCCCGCCAGGTATCCCGTTCTGAGGCTGCTTGGAATGTTAGGAAAGGAGGTAGGCTCGTAAGTGAAGAATTGCTTTGTCACCCTTGCAGCTGATACAGCAGTAATTCTGGGAAAGATGCTGTAAAAAGAAATGTCTGCATTTTGAAATGTTTACTTCTTGGTTTCTCTGCAGCTGTTGCCCTACTGACCTCCAGTATTATCTTGCCTCTGCCCTCCTGCTTGCTTTAGTACTTTCGAGCGGGGATGGAGGAATGTTCCTTTTTTAATTTCCCTATTTAGTCCCAGCTCATTTTTTCTTTTATGCCCTGTATTTTTCTGTGATTAGCCACGCCAGGGTTTAAGGCAGGGCTGTAGACTGGGACAGTGTCGGGGGCCTGATGCCATTCGGCCTGGCCGTTAGTGAAGTTGCTCGGTGGTTTCACTGAAGTTTCACTCACCTGCAGGCTTTCCAAGCCAAGAGGAGGGCACAGCACTTTCTCACTCACAGGTTATTCTGCCCTCCCAAGTAGCCATCCATTCTGCTTGTATAAACCCCAAGTAAAATGAGAGAGAGCGTTAACAGAAGGGTTAAAAATACGAACTGAAAACAGGTCCCTCAGCACCGAGAGCTGTCAGTCATTCTGCCAGCCGTTCTGCCATACTGTGTGTGTAACAAAAACAGTGTTCTAGTTCCGAGTGATGAAGGTGCAAGCTGGAGAGCAGCCTCCTCCAGTGTTTGGAGCAGCAGGAAACGAGCAGCCAGGCATTGCCCTGGAGCAGCTCTGCCTTCCTTGCCTCACCAGCAATTGCATTGCAAAATTCTGGTGCACACACTGTGCTTAAGACGATTACTACTCGGGTGGGGGGAGGGCTATTTCCAAAGACCGAGGTCTTTCAAAACGACCTTTTGAAACGTTTCTGTGAAGTTTTTGAGCATTAGGGAGAAGGTAAGAAGGTTGGTTTCCATGTGGAGAGCACAACACTCCTGTCCAGCACTCTGACACACCTGCTGATCAGTGCGTGATGCTCAGGGTGCTCTAGCTAGCTCACCTTGTGCTCACCTTGTACAGAACAGACCTTGTCCCCTCCTGACTCCCAGCTGCTTAACGTGGAGGGCAGCGCTGAAGCCTCGTTTGTTGTTGCCTCTCTTCCGAGCTGTGCCAGCAGCCGTGCAGCATGATGGGGTCGCTGAACATACAGAGCTCCTCATCGTCTTACTGAACTTCCTAGCAGTCCCCACGTGTGACATTAGTCCCTAGCTGTGCCGAAATGCACCTTAGTTCCCAAACGTGTCGGTGTTACTCCAACAACGAGCGTGATTTCTAGAGTTCTGGGGCCCTAGTTCCATCTTGTTGGTGCAGGGGCTGCTCCTCTGCTGTTATTTCCGCTGGACAGATGGGCCATTTCTGACAAAAGTGTCTGACATTCAGACTTCAGTTGTCAACACCAAACCTGTGAACAGAGGATTCAGTGACTCTGACTGGCAGTGTTTGCACAAAAAGGGTAACAACATCTGTTGGCAGACGAGGGAGAGTCTTTGTAATGCTCAGTGGGAAAGAGAAAACCCACAGTCAGGACAAGAGCTGAGGGTATAACATTGAATGCCCAACTTTTTTTCATATGTGGCAGAATGGCTTAAAAGAGCTGATTCCCAATAAAATATGTATCAGATAGTTAACATCTTGCCCATTTCTGCACATGCTTCTCTTTGCTATGGGGCAGAGGTGGAGGTTTCTCTCCTTCAGGTTACCAGAAAGCCAAAGATAAGGTTTGGGGTTAACTGAGGCCACAATGTACGGAACGCGGGCTGCTGATTTCGAAGGGACTGCAGTGGCTGCCCGCTAGCTGGAGAGGTTGGTACCAGACATCTCGGCAGTTGTGCATGACTGAGGCTACACTGGCAGCAAGATTAAGCGTAACGTGTTCCCGAAGGCTCTGGCAGTGAAGGAGAGAAGGAGAAACTCCTTGTTGGAATCGTTTGTCTTTAGATTTGGTACAAAATGGAAGGAGTTGTAGCTAGCCACATGGAAAGTAGGGAAAACAGCTTGATTTTTTCCTTTTTCTAGAACACAGCCTTGAAAGAGTTAACAGGTTACATCAGGAGCAACTCGTCTGGTTGAACCTATATTTAGTTTACTGGAAGAACCTTTAGGTTGTGAAACGTAGACTGTGTGTTCTTGTCCTCAGGCTAGAACGAAATGTTTAGAAGAGGAAATGTTTTCAGTAATATTTCAGGAATCTCTGAATAAACACTGTTCCTGCCAGTGTGAATGGTTAAAATTTGAGCTGTTGGTCCCTTGAAAACAAACCTGTTTCTGCTTTGATCCAAGTTCTGCTCCACCAGCATAAAAGAGTTAAACCCACAACCTACTGCCGCAGCGAAAGACGGGTGTGCAGGGGGATCCCCAGCCGGCACGGAGCTGCGTCTGCACGGGGTCCTCACACCCAGTGCCTCCTGCAGTGGGCGGGAAGCAGGCTTCCCTTCCAGGCTTCCAGAGGAAGGGGGCAGGTTAGTCCATAGAGCCCGTTTTCCTCGGGTGTGCTTGAGCAGGCAGAATACTGGCAGGCTGTGCAATCCATCTGGGATTGCCCCATTCCGTTGAATTGACCAGACTTGATGTGTGCCTTTGCCCTTTTGCAGGTCAGCTGCAGAAACTTCCAAGCCTTAGGTTAAATTAGCCCTTCGCTGTGGATCTCTGGAAACGATCAGCAGGGCTGCTGGTTCCCATGCCTTCACCCAGAGTAGGGACTTATCATAACGAACAGCGTTAAGGGCAGGAATAAAACCCGCGGGATGGACACAGACTCCGCTAGCCACGTGCTTCTTGCTGCATGTGCATCAAAACGTTGCACCTCTGCTTCACCCACAGCCTGTCCCGTCTCCAGAGCGGATACGGCTCTTCGCGCGAGGCTGACGCCCCCTTGGCGTGGGGCAGCTTTCATCAGTGGGAGCGGGCTGCCAAGCACAACTCCTCCTCAATCAGCAGAATCAAAACATCGTATCGCGGCGTTGTTGGACATTGCCTAGCCTTAACCAAAATAAGACACAGCAATTTTGGTGCTAACCTTACAGAGTCTTTTCCTTTGAAAGGACGGTAGAACTGCAGCAGCTATAGAAGGTAGGTAACGCGGGAGGGGGAACGCAGAGACAGCTTTTTACAGGTAGCTCATGAGCCGTTCTGTATTGTGCTTTGCTGTTGGGCAGTGCAGGAACCGCAGCACATCCCTGCCATGAGGGAGGAGAAACAGGTCACTAGGTCCAGGTGTTGTTACAAAGGAGGGAAGGCAAAGGCAAAACCAGCACGGAGCAGAGAAGCACAGGGCAGCTTTTTAAAGGGAAGGTTATTCCTAGCACAAGGTTCGTTATGTTTGGGAGAGCAAACGTGGAGTGTCTGATGGGAGGAGCCTTTCCCTGTGCCCCGGATTCTGTCTGACCTGGGCTCAAGACTTGTCAGCGTTGGCAGTTCTCATGCCATTTATCGTATGTGCTGTTCTTTCTTGTCACGACATGTGTTCCTGCCCTCACTTTGTCTTACAGCTGTACAACTTCGGGGAGACGGTTTCCATAGTTTTCTGGACAGACACGTGGAAGCCAGAAAGCTTTTTCGACAAGATCAAGAGGAACAGGCAGAGCGGAATGCACACGCTGTGCCTGCTTGGTAAGCAGCCACCACCCCACTCCTCAGCTGCCATCGCCGCCACCCCCAGAGACAGCAGTGATGGGCATGAGGTGGCGGCGGTGACTGAACTGTGTTCTTGGCTAATGTGTGGCTTTGACAGTAGCCACTGCTCCCGCTACAGCCGCCAGGAATTTCCTAAGGTTGCTTTGGAAAATCCTTAAGAAACAATGCTTTGGTAGGAGTCAGATAGGAGCAGGAGGCCCGCGTTTGCTCAGACATCACCGTTAAGCTGGATCTAGCACAGGCTCCAAATCAGATTGCAGTGAAGAACATAATTAATTGACTTTGTTAGGCGAGAGCTTGGCCCATTTCACTTTCTGGGGAACCAACTCGTTCGTTTAACCACATTCCTGTTTTGGAAGGCGATAGTCTTTTCCCTAAATTACCTTACCTAAGGATGTTTTGGCAAAAGGTGATTGCCAAAACCCCTGGCTGGTCAGGAGCTGGGACAGGGTTAGGGCCTGCTCCTCGTCGACGCAAGCCCAGGCTCCCCCGAGGTGCTGCCCGATCTTACTGCACCCCAGACCTTGGCTGAAAGGTGCTGTCTGAGGAATCCGCTGTGCCTGGGTGGCTCACTTAAGGCTATGGAACCCTCTGCACATGGACTGTAAGGCGCTCACAGAGTTGCACATGCAGTCCTAGACCTTCCTGGAGCATCTTTTAGATGCAGCTGGGGTCTCTCTGCTCTAAATTAACATTTAAGTCAAACCAAAGTCTGCGGTAACTGGAGGGTCCTGAGCAGGGAACAGTTTAAATGTGTGAGCATTGCTGCACGTTGCACTCTTCAGTGCCTTCAAAGTTGTTTGTTTTCCACATTGGCTAAAAATCAGAATTCTGGTGATTTGGTGTAAAGACAGTTGACTGCCCAAGTGTCTGAAATGAGGGCTGTTAAGCTGGGGCACGTTAAACCAGCGTATTCCTCAGGTATTCTCTATAATCATCTCCATGATCTCCCTTTAAATTTTTTTTATACAGTAGTGAGAGAGTAAAAGTTCTGACCCCCTAAAATCATGCTGTACATCCCCAGTCCAGGGGCACCAGAGTACCTGCATCTCACAGGTACCTGCATCTTGAACAGGTTGCCCAGAGAAGCTGTGGATGCCCCATCCCTGGATGTCTTCAAGGCCAGGCTGGATGAGGCTTGGAGCAACCTGGTCTAGTGCAAGGTGTCCCTGCCCATGGCAGGGGGGTTGGAACTAGATGATCTTTAAGGTCCCTTCCAACCCAAACCATTCTATGATTCACCATAGCCCACAGGTGAAGCCCACCCATTGCCCAGCTGACTACCCCTGGGTGCTGCGCGCTCCTTGGGTTCTGTGTCGGTGTTCACCCAACCCCAGTAGGTCACCAGAAGGCGAATGTGACATAGGAAGGTTGGTGCTGGTGAACTTGTGAGCAAACTGCCCACTGGGAACACACGGCTTTGCATTTCACACCCTTCTCTTCGGGGTCACTCTGGTTTAGGAGCTGGCTGTGTAACTTAGCGTGTATTGCTGTACATGCTAAAACCCAAGACTGAAAGTGTACCCAGCGTTCCCGATGATGGTATCGGGGGCGTTTGAATACAGGTGGCATTCTATTGCCTCTTGGAGAGATTGAGTCAATTAGTTCTATAACACTGCAGATGCACAGTCTTACCTGGCCCCGTCTCGGTTTTATCCTTGCCCAAATCCCTTTTTTTTCCCATAAGAGAAGATTGTTCTGAGTTTGGATCGGACAGGAAGGAAGTGCTGATGAAAGCCAGGTTCCTGCCTGGCAGCGATGTCAGCACTGTCCGTCAGCCTGTACCTTCTGTGACAACAGCCACTTGTCATTCAAGAGCAGTCCTGGTCCCTGGGTGCTGAACAGGCTGGCATTAACTCTCCTGTGGTCAACGGCCCTACTCCTGTGCACTGTGCAGTATTTCCACTCGTCGGTGCTGCTCTGCAGTCAGTGAAACCCGCCCTGCCTTCGGTAAAGTCCAGCCACAAAGCCACCACCTGCTGCGGGTGCCCAACAGGTCAATCAGCAGAACACAATCCAGCCTCCTCCTTCCTGCCATAGCTAAAATGTCGTTACAAACTTCACAGAATCTGTTTTACCTACGGAAAACTACCTGGGAAGTTTGTAGGGCACCTGGTTTCATTATCTGCTTTGTCCTACAGATATTAAAGTGAAGGAGCAGTCTCTGGAGAACCTGGTGAGGTGAGTTGCCTTTGGAAATGCAGAGACACGCTCTGTTTACCAAGGGCTTTGTGCAAGGACAGAGGCTCTTCCCCGGCAGGCCAGTGCGGAACTTACCTGCCTTCTCCTGCACTTCCCAGTGGCCGAGGTCTTTGTTCCTTAAAAGGAGCCAAACTTTTGCTCCCTGCAGCAGGACCTGGCTCTGCTTGCAGCAGCTGAACAAACCGCAGCAGAGCGTAGCTGTGAACTGCTGCAGCCAGCAGCACTCGGTCGGGGGCGAGTAAGCTTTGCCCTCCGTCAGGAAGGGGTACGCTTCCCGTGGGGCAGACACAGTGCTGCTGTACTGCTCTGTCCCATCCCGGAGCAGATGACTAGCTCAGCAGTGTTCCGAAGTCACTCTTCCTTACACGGGCTGGAAACGGTGCAAAGCGCTGAGCACATCCCACCCTTTTTGAACAGCTGAGTAAGTGACGTGTAGAAAACGCCCTGAAGTTCATGTAACTGTGTTCAACACAGCTCTTGCCACGTGCATCATCTCTCCACAGTCTGTGTTTTGGCAGGCACCAACCTAAACGGTGACTTTCCACCCTGCTGAGGCTCTGGTCTAAATTAACATTTGGGAAGGCTCAGCGTCACCGAGGTTTGCTGCTTCTGGGGATTCAAAATAAACCCTTGGATGGACTCCACAGCTGGCAGCGCCAGCAGCGTTTTGTTTCGGACTGTGTTTCTAGCCTGTAATCATCTGTCTAGAGGGCAGTGGACAGAAAAAGAGTACTTTGCCCGGGAACTGAAGTCTAACACATCTTTCAGAGTGGCTGCAAAAGCTGGATATTGCTTCCAGCACCTGAATTAGCTGTTAGGACCCAAACGATCTGCCAGCTGCAGGCCCTGCTGCTTCCCAGATGTGGGGGAGCACAAGAGCCTCCTGTCCTTGCAAAGTCCATGCCTGGTCACCAGTTGGACTGTTTCAGTTCGGTTCGCTGGTCTGGAGGCTTCTTGAAATGAACAGCAAGAATGCTAGGAGTAACGAAACGGGTCGGGTGTGAAATTTCTCTTCTTTCCCTGCAGAGGAAGAAAGATCTATGAGCCGCCGCGCTACATGAGTGTGAGCCAAGCTGCAGAACAGCTTCTTGCCATTATTCAGAACAGGAGGCTCCAGGGAGAAGACCCAGGTACTGTCACTGTGATGCTTACATCTGCCTCTTGCAAGTCACGTACTGATGAGCTTCTGAACTCCCTCTTAATCCTGGCCTTCTCCTGCTCCACGGAGCAATCAGGCTGCCCAGAATCCTGGTCAGGAGATAGATTTGGCAGAGCTGACCACAGCGTGCTTCAGGAAGCACAGATGGACGAGCACTGGTGGCTCCTGGGGCTTTAGTCAAGCCTAGACTGCTTTATCCACCTTGGAGCTCTGATCCATCCATTGGGGGAGGCAGAGGGATTCTGGGTGTTTTACACAGA